CCAGGTAGTTTGGTGATATCTTCTTGATTTATAAACATTTGGCGGCGGAAACTCAGGATATGTTCGTATCCGGCAATATTGATGCCGGCTTTTATATGGTTTAGTTTTGAGACTGGAGATATATTGATGTTTTTTAATGCGTTAAGAATTATTATGTTAGGTATGGATGGACACACATTTGATATCGTGATCTTTTTGGCTGGATTAATCAATCTGCGAATAGGGATAGTGTGTTCATTTATTGATATCGTTTTGGATTTTTCAAGAAGTGTATCGAGTACTTCTTTGCTTGAAAAAAAAATACAGAAACGATTGTTGGATATCCTTGAAGTGAATATTATGTCCCGAGGGAGGATCAGTTTTCCAATTGCAAGTATATATTCTATTTGTCTGATACCGTCTATAGAGTTGAAAACAATTGCTTGTTCCCTGGATGGAGTTTTTTCGTTTGCCGTAATCGTAGCAAAACTGGTAGGTGATTCTGAGCTGTATACTGGGTGGGGTTGGGCGTTGTCGTCGTTGAAAACGATAACGTTTTGGTTATCAGAAATGGAGAGGTTATCGTGTTGATTAGCTGCAGCGGTAATTAGGAGAGCAGCGGTGTTGGCAGAGGTAGGAGTGGAGCGTGGAAGTGGCGGTAATGTATCAATATTATCTACAGAGACATTTGAGTTTGACTTGTTCGAACTAGGATTTGTTTTTGAACTGTTTGATTTGGAGTAGATGGGAATTTGTTTAATATGGCTTGTGGGTATGTTTTTTACAGAAGGTGTTTTCGAGTGAGTGTTTGTGATATTTTTGTTTAATGTTTTTGTAAAAGGCGGTTTGCCTTTTGTATTTTTGTCGCTCATTACGTCGAATGTTCCGCGTCAGATAATAAAGATAATGATTATATTACCTGTACACTGGTCACCGGCATAATTAACGGAGTGCTATCGGAAGCTATAAAAGCGCACGGTCGCGAAAGATGTACACGTGCTGTTCAGTCGGAGGTCGAACACGTACTGATAAACCTAATTATATGTTTGAATATAATATAGGTAGGTGCACACAATCTTTATGCTATGCAATACTTTTTTTAGAACCATATATTTTTACAAAAGCTTTAATTAATATTTATAATAAAATAAAGAACACTTAAAGTGTAGTTATATTTTAATAACAATACACCGGTCACCGGGTAGTGGGTCTTTACATAAAAATTTTGTTTTTTTTAAAAAGAAAATCACCATCATTATTTATTTTTGTATAGGTATCTAACCTATAAAAAATATTATATTATACATAGACCTCAGGGCCCCATACATTGAATGTGTCCGGGGCCCCAAGAATCCTAATTGAGGCACTGAGCAAGCAATACAAGAAATAATATTATATTATAATTTAAAATAATATTAATTTGTAAATATATCGTATACCTCTATAAGAGTAATAGAGTATGGGCTATAAGTGATGAATCAGGTAAAATTGATTTATAGATAATGCAGTTGATATATTTTCAAAAATAAAAAAAAGTAGATATTCTAAGAAACTACTAGGTAATATTTTTGTTTATCAATATAAATATTTCCATATAATAGTTTGTAGACTTTTAACTGATATAGGTTTAATTATTTTTCTATAATATCTGCTTCCTTATATTTAAAAATGATGTTACCTAGCTAATAAAAAGGGTACCATAAAAAAAAATGTAAGTAGATAATATGTGGTTGCTAGCGAAGCGAGCCGTTTTTTTTTTACCCATTCGGGCTGGTCAAAACTTTGCCCCCCTCTATTGAAAAACGAAATGATGTCACTGTATACATTTACTTTGAAATTTTGAATAGAACTGTTGTATAATGTCAAGTACACAAACTATCATTAATATGTACTGGTAATTAACGGACGGACACAACAGGGATATATATGTTTAAAAACCAAAAATTAATGAATTTTTTACTACAAATTAATTTACACATTTTACTGAATATGAACGTACATTTTAGTGAAAACATTTATTGATGTTGATGATTGAAACAAATTGTATTCCCTAAAGCATGAAGAAACAACAAATACAATTTTTTTTAAAATACAGACACACGCATCATTGTAAAACTAATACATTCCTTGCTCCGTTCAGGATCTTTTAACAACTTTTATGTATCACTAACAACAGTTGTTAGTAATACATAGAAGTACTATAGGTATACCATTTAAAATATTTTTTGAAAAAAATGTATGCATAAACTGTGAAATAATGAAAAATTGATGTGTTTAATAATGTCATCATAAAACTTCAGTTATTAAAATGTACACATATGCAATTTATTGAAATAAAGACCTATAAATCATATTACATTATTTCATTATTTTCATTAGTTCTGTTTTTTTTTGTTGTTTTTTAAGACTCATGAAACATCATTGTAAAACCGATACAGTCATCGCTCGGTTTAGAATCTAAAGAGTGGCCATGGTTTGTTATAATAATTCGGTATTATTTCATAATTAGATACCTACAATTTATTTTTATTTTCTAGTTTTGATTCCCCTACAATTTTTTGCAAATATTAAATAATTTGCTAATTTATACATATATATTATATAACATAGGTTTTACATTAGTAATTTCTATTGCTTATTCATATTTGTTAATATATATTATAATAATTGTTATTGCATTATGCATGCCCTATAATATTAATAGATATTACTATAACAATTAAAATAATTATTTTATTTTTATCTCCCTGCAATAATTTGTGCATGATAACTATGAAGTCTGTTCTAATAAAATAAAATAAAACAATCATATCAGTGGGTCAAAGATTATGCCTATGCCTTGGTACACTATAGATTTAAAATGTATACGTTTATCATATCTTCATATTAAACTACCAACAGTGTCCTTTCAGCACGTTCAAGATATTTTATATTTATCAAAGAAAACTCTCCAGACACTAAGTCAAATTATTTAGTAAACTATGAGTTAACTCTTTAAAAACAAAATTCTAATGATGTTAAATACAATAAATACTTATTTCATTCCATAGAATATCACTGTTCCAGGTTAAAATAGTAGTCTACAGTAAAGGTAAAATATAAATATTTATATTCAGCTAAGTAGTTTCACAACTTTCGCCCCTTTTCATAAATTTAAAACTGAATATTTTCGTAGAAAAATATTAAAGACTATTATTATTTGAGGACGTATTTTAAAACTTTAAAATTAACGGTGTAATCAATATTGTAAAATACTTAAATGATTGATATTAGTACATTATTTTTTAACACAATTCTAAATGTAATGTAACCAAACAAAACAATAATTTAAGGAGTTGTAATACTCAGTCGAAACAAAGAATTATGAATCATATAAATATTCAAATTCATATTTATTTTAATTATAAATACAAAAATTGTACCATAATTTTAATAAATCACATTAAACTCTCAGTTATTATTGATATTTGATATCGATGTATGTGAATCTGTAAGTTTTAATGTAACTACATTAAAAGTTACAAATAGAGGTACTTTATTTTTAATAATACCTATCGTAACGCTGATAATTAACATATTCTGATAAATAAAGTATCAGGTTTGTTTGAAACAGCTGAAGAAAGATTCACCGGATTTTGCCAAATTTCCAAACGAAACATTTGGTTGGACAATGAACGTATACAAAATCATTCACAACTATAGAAAAATTATATAAAGGTATTTAAATTTTTTATTTTTTTGTAATAAATAATTATATAAAATTGTCCCCGTTGTTGTATGCCCTGATCTTAACAAGCTAATACTCACGCCATACAAACCACACAAAAAACGTAATTTAAACACATCATTTTAGAGGGGTTGACAAATTGGTTTTATATTTTATTATATTCGACTTTAAAGATAAAAACAAATAAGTATATAAAAGTTAATTTAAATAGATACTTAATTGTTATGAGATAATATTTAGACAAAACGATATGTCATAACATCACAAATATTATTCCCAAATGTTTGTAGTAGGTAATTTTACTCTGAGATTAGGTACTCAAAAACATAAAAATAAATCATTTTGTGTGATTGCGTTTTGTCCATGTCACGCTTGGGCCAGAGTGAGAAAATAAACTGAGCATGACAACCTCGTAAAAACTGAGAACAGCTGTACGACGACGCGTCGATGCATCTCCACAATAGAACATTTTTCATATTTGTTTTTTCTTAATATTTATAGAGCTAAATAAGAATTTTTTATTTTTTAACCCTATAATTTTTTAAGTATTTACATTTTTTGAGACAATAAAAGAGTTAAAATTTAATATTCCAAAGCAGAATATTTTTCAAAGTATTTTGATACACAAATATCAAATTTATTGCTAATAGTTTATGAGTTATAACCTATAGGCTATAAGTATTTAAAGTTTAGATGAGTGGAGAAACATTTTTCGGGGTAACCCCGTACCACTCCACACTAATCCTCTATAAAATATTGCTTAAATCGAGCTCATTCCTAATAATATTATCTATGGAGATATCCAAAGTTCAGTGCCACCATCGATCAATCAGGCGTAAAATTATCTACAAAACCAATGTACCTATATTTTTTTTTTTTAACTGACTTAATCCCTTTCTTATGAGAATTGTGCAATTATTAAGTACCTATACTTAATACGGTTGTACTGTCTTAGTTTTAGTTATCTATACCGTTTTAAATTGTAATATCTATCACATAATAAGTAAGAGTGAAATGTAAGTCTTGAAAGTTGTAAGACACACAAGTGTGAAGTGAATAATTAAATCGGATTATTACAAGAACTTATATAACAAATGTGTATTTCTGGTTTGTTATAACAATATGAACAGTTACGTATTCAGTTATTTCAGTTTACATTGGGTAGCGCTGATGGTAATACGTTTATTAGGTAAAAGTGTCCAACGAATGGTCATAATTATACAATTTAATAAAGAATACACATTTTTGTTTTAGCTTTTCGAAAGTTTTTGGAGCTTGGACGACAGACTGCAACATGGCTATATGCAGGTACGTTCCAGTTTATTTAAGTTTGTATTACCTAATTATCTCATCAGCTATTATTGTCTATTATAGTTATCTACCATACAATTTTTGAAATTTACATGTAGATACTATAATGAGAATATTACCTAATTAACAGCATGGATGTATTATGTACATACCTATTATAAATTATATGTAATTAAAAAAACAATTTCTTTAAAATTACTGTTATTACACTCAGCTATAATGACGGAAAACAAATGTTTGTTTATCTGCTGTTAATTCAGTGTGTAGGTACATTAGTCGAATTCTGTGGTTTATTTTGTTTTATTTATATTAAAATGATTTTATCCTTTTATAAAATCACTTTACTGACATTTTAACTGTATTTATTTAATGACAAGTATGGTGTTTAATATTATTAAAATTTGTACCGATACGTGTTCCCAATAATTTAAATAATATAATCACAGACGTTTATCACTCACGCGGAAGAATAATATATTGTTTTTTTTTTCAGATCACAATCGAATCGTTGCCTTGTTCTGCTAGGACTGGCGATATCGATCGCTATAGTTTCACTTTTGGTAGTATTCTCGCTACATGACGTCGTAAACGAAATCTCCGACCCGGAATTCGAATTGCCCCCGTCGAGTATGCCGTTGGGCTTGTACAGCAAAGTCGGAGTAGTATCTAACGGTGGACCATGCGCACAAATCGGAGTGTAATTTTAATATGCATTGCACCCATAACGTGATTTTTTATTGATGTCTTCAACCTTGAATTTTAATTTTTATAAATTTTTTGCTACACATATTTCAGGGGAAAAAACTGATTGATAAATACTGTCGTATTGTCTTAAATGTACCTACCAATGTATAGAACAGGCCAGTCGTTAATAATGAATTTAGTGCTATCACTATTATTATTCTGTTCAATTTATTTTCTTCGAATAGTTGCATGAAATAAATTATTTTACTTTATTATATTATATAATTTTTCTTTAATAATTAAAAGTATATAACGACAGTACGACACAATTCTAAAGCTCACGTGGCCCAATCGTGAGTCCCACCAGTTGAAAACCACTGAAATAGTGTACCGATACAATAATTTTATAAACATTAATATGATTATTGTTCTAGCAATTAAAATAATAACCTAACCTAACCTATAACATTTAATTGTTTAACGACTAAAATAGTTGATAAAATAAATGTTAAAATACGAAAATATTATACACAATTTACTATGGTTTATTATTTCAAACATTTAAGATTTAACAATAAATCGCCCACTGCCCGCACAATAATTAGTTTAGGTTTTAACTTTAATAATAATCTAACAAACCGTTTGAATATTTTAACTATAAAACTATTTTTACATAATACGAGTATAATTTATTAATCAAGCCATGTACTTACATTAAATCCATCTGACACTTATGACATTTAAAAATACTAGTAAACGGGTAAGCGCCTTTAATTGTTCTCTGTATTGTTTTGTAAAAGGGACGTGATGTCGAATGGTGGAAATGCCGTTGATGCTGCTATAGCTACAATGATATGTGATGGTGCTCTATGTCCTCAATTTAAGGGTTTGGGTGGAGGATTTTTAATGAGTATATACAATGCCACAACCAAAAAAGTAATGTCAATCGACGCACGAGAAACAGCACCATCAGGGGCAACTGACTCCATGTTTGTAAAAGAACCTAAAAAATCTGTATTGGGTACGTACCTTGTGCACTCGAAATAAAAACAAAACATTTTTATTTATCTATGTTAATACTGATACTATAAATCAATATGAAAGTAATTATTACGCATATTATAAATTTATGTCTGTCATTTTAAAATTAAACTAATGTTTCTAAAAACTATATGTATATTAAATATATGAGTATTTATAAATCTCAATTGGATGATATTATACAATTTTAAAATAAAAAATATGTAGGTGGCTTGGCGGTTGCAGTTCCGGGAGAACTTAAAGGCTATTCGACCATCTATAGTTTATACGGTGGTCATGTTTCATGGTCATCGCTATTTGAACCAACAATACAATTATGTGAAGAGGGCATGCTAATCAGCAACCGTCTAGAGTTAGGTTTAAAGGCAGAAGAAGACTTGATCAAAAATGACCCAATGCTCAGGTACAGTGAAAGCCTGCATTAATTGTTATGTGACTAGAAACAATTTACCAGATTATGCAATTTGTATAGTTTTATAAATCAATCTTCAAAAGTCGTTTATATTTAAATAACATTAAATTGACTTTCACCGAGAAAAATAAAATTACGGACATAATATACAGATAGTTGCAGCTATTGGCCCGATAACCACTATCATCTCGTATTTTCAGTTGAATTCCGAACTTTATGAAATTATATACTTTGATATTTTTGACGGATTTTGCGATAGATATTAATTTATCATTACTTATTGATATAATTATTGAGAAAAACAATGCATTCATCTCTAATTTTTGACATTAAACACATGTTATAAATTGCATAGATAAATAATTGTAAAAAATTATTTCTTAGAAAAGCTTTTTTTAACGAACACACTGGGCATGTAAAGATGGCTGGGGAAATGTACACGTTACCAAAGTTAGCAGAAACGATGAAAATCATAGCAAAAGAAGGCGTAGAAGCCATATACAATGGTTCGTTAACGGAACGATTATTAGAAGACTTAAAAAAAGTAAATGGGATTATCACAAAAGAAGACTTAGCTAGCTATAAGTGAGTATGATATTATGATTTTATAAGCTTTTTAATTAATTTCAGCTTGTTGTAATATTTAAATAATATATTATATTATGTTTATATTGTCAATTAAGTAAATTATATTTAATTGGAACAAAATTAAAAGTTCAACGCTATTTTTATCTTAAACGGAACCTATATCAACGAATAGATTCCCTAGTTAAAATGTAAGAAATAATTCATAAACTAAACGAATATAAACATTATGCATTTTCAGAGTTGAAGTCGAAGAATCTTTTTCTGTGAACTTAAAAAGTGGGCAAACAATACACTTGGGGCCACCACCTGGTTCTGGTATAATACTAGCTTACATACTCAGAGTGTTGGACGGCATGTTGCCGGCACCCAGCGCCGGCTTGGATGCACATCGTTTGGTGGAGGCTTTTAAATTTGGATATGGCGAGAGAACACATTTAGGCGATCACAAATTCGTAAACGTGTCTCAAGTATGTTTTATCGACCAAATACATTATAGCCAAACGTTGTTGACGTTTAGTGTTTACGATTATTTTTTTAATTGTTTTCGTAGATATACGATAAAGTGAAATCGGATAGTTATATAGATAAAATACGCAGTCGAATATTTGATAATTTCACTTCATCAGACCCTAAATACTATGGAGGTGATTTTGATATGCCAGAAAATCACGGAACTGCCAATATGGTCGTGATTGATTCGATGGGAAACGTCGTCATAAGTACTAGTACAATAAACACATAGTGAGCGACAATTAATGAATTTCTCAACATTTATAATTAACATCAAATATTAATTACACGGCTGTCTTAACTCACAAGTTTCGTTTTTATTTTAGCTTCGGTAGTGGTTTCATGTCTCCTAGCACCGGTATTCTTCTGAATAATGAAATGGACGATTTCTCTACCCCTGGAGTCGTTAATTATTACGGTATTCCGTCTTCACCGGCCAATTACATAGAACCAGGCAAACGACCAATGTCTTCAATGTGCCCAACTATTATCACAGACGGAAAAAAAGACTTCGTTCTCGCAGCAGGAGCAGCGGGAGGATCAAAAATCACGCTTGCAACCGCCTACGTATGATTATTTTACCTTAAATCCTAATAGTTTTGTGGTTTTAGATATCTATTGTAATATTACATTATTACCATGCCCATCTCAATTTAATTTCCTAGTATTCTACAAAGGTAAACTGTTTTTCATATTAAAATAACATTAAAACATTATTTCACAATATTTTTTGTTCTAAATTCGTATTAGATCACAATTATCACAATTATCTGTAATAAGCTAATACCTTTATTGTTTTATTGACATTCGATTATACAAGTATACAACTGTTGAACCATTTTTTTTCCTTATATATAATTAAATGTACTTGTGTACTGAAACTTTTATTATATTATAATCACATGCAGCTAATATGTGATTTTCTATGTAAGTTAATTTGACCATAACGAGTTTGATTGGGCTGTAAAACATGAATTATTGTTTAAATTAAAAATGTCCTTCTAAACTCCAAGTACTGGTGTATATAAATCTTGAACTTAACACTCAGATAGAGTGTGTTTCAACATCACGAATGTTAATTGCCATTCTATTATAACGCTTATTATAGTTCTAATGTAATACGCCTTACAGTAAATTTATTTTAACCCAAATTGTTTTTCTATAGATTTCAATATTGGTTGTCTTAAAATATATATATTATATATATATTTGTCTAATATAATAAGTTATTGGAAATAACGCACTCGTATTGTAACTAAAAATGTAATAGCACGGCTTTAGATAGTATCTAAACTCTAAAGCATTGTGTAAGAGTGATTGAATGAATACGATAAGTGATAATCAAGTTTATTATGCTATTAAATATTAAATGAAATAATATTCTATTCTACATTATTTACGTTTCGGAGTGGAGATACATTTAATTCTACCACTTTAATAAATTAGTTAGTTCCTCGTCAATATTTTGCTCTATTAAATCAACTGCAAGGTCAAGATCTAATCGCACAAATTATAACCATATGATCATTTTTACTGAAATCGAGTTATTACTTATTATATCTAGTTGTAGATTTAATTCACCAATTTGATTTTTTAAATTTTTAGATAAATAAAATAAGCGGCCATATAACATCGGGAAAAACATATTTTATCGATTGTATAGCTGTCTGTTCAAAGTCAAATGAAATTGATTTAGGTTTTAAATAAGTTATTAAATCCCTAAGCATTGATAACATATGAGTAGGTATTTCATATTTCTTTAATAAAGGTAGGTAATAGATAAGAAAATAGAATATCCGATATCTAAATAAGCCTCGCCGAAATAACCACTCGCTGATTTGTCCTAGACCCTTAAGGCATTAAACATGATTTAACATGAATTCAAATACTAAGAAATTTTTATTTTAAGGTGACTGCTCTTAAATTATGGTACAATAAAACGTTGAAAGAAGTTATAGACAAACCAAGAATTTTCCACCAACTTGTGCCTATGCAAGTTCAGTATGAATACGGAACGACTAGAGTAATGTTAAAATATAAAATGTTTACAAAATATTTTACTAATAATATTATTTACCTTGTTTTATTGTTTAGGATGTAATACAAACACTTAAAGATATTGGCCATCCAGTGATCCGATTGTCAACTACCGGAACTTCAGCAGCAACAGCCATTGCCAAATCGGCTTCCGGAATGGTAGAAGCTATGCCAGATTATCGACGACCAGGAAATTCATCTGGATATTAAAACTATTATAATAGTTTTTAATAAATTTTAAATGTGCTACATTTTTGTATAATATACGTTGATAATATCAACATATCCTAACAATTTAAAATGTATTTTTTTCATAAAAATTGCAATTTTTAACGATTAGTAAATTGAATACAGGTAATCTAATAAATAATTTGATAAGTCAAATAAATAGTTACCTATAAATTTAGTTTTATATTATTTGTATATAATATAATGTTTTATACCTATATCTATATCTTTACATTAATTTATTATTACTTTTTCCTATTATTGTATATCTTCATTATGCACAGTAGGTAGTTTACATAAATAATTATTTTTTTCATAAATTTTGAGTTTGATTTTTATATTTAAAGAATATTATCTTTATATTTTAGATTTGTTTAACCGTGTGGCCTATTAATTCTAGCCTATTAATTTCAGAATTTTTTAATCGTATGATGTTGCATTTTATTTTAAACTCTTTATTTTGAATATTAGTGTCTGGTGTATAACAATAAAAATATACAGAATTCGTGAAAAATTTACGATATAGTTTTTCGTTTATATAATAAAGTTGTATGGACTATTCTTATAAATTGTATTTTAGATTCTGAGCGTAGCGATGAATGTATTGATTTCACAATGAAGTGTGTTTTTTTTGTCTGTCATCACTGTTTAGGGCAGTAAAACTGCTTAGATTTTTTTCAACAGTATCTTGTTAGATGGAAAAGTGAATCTAGTTGGTTCACTGGGGATTACAACATTTAAGATTCCCAATAGTTTTCGAAAGTGCCGGGGAAAACAAAATAACAATTTAGGGAAAACTGGAACTTTTACGCAAAATTGTTTTGGTTTTTGTAGTAACTCTAAAACCGTATTACCTTAGATACATGAAATTTTCACTGGTTGTTTATAATCGCATTTTCTATACACGATAAATGTTCAAAATATTTTGATTTGTTTTGAACTGTTTACGGACATTTTCAGTTTCTAATTTTGTTAGGTAGTTATTTTTTCTATGAATGTCAATAAATTTTTATTTGTTGGGTCAAAAAGTTTGAAAATTTAAGACAAGACTTTTAATATACTATTACAATGGCAGTTGAAGAATATTAAAATACAATATTGAATATATCTAATAACAAATATTTTTTATGAGCATTTGAATTTTGAATTTTGACAAAATACGGAAAAATCACGAAAATGTGCAAATTATTTGGAGTTAGAAATTCAAAAACTTTTTCTTTTTAAATCTAAGATTTTAAAATATAATACAAGATTCCTTATAAGTTTGTCTACCTATATAAAAAAGAAATGTTAAGTTAAAATAAATAATAAAGTCAAATTAAATTTTTAGGAGTGTTTGAAGTTCATATTCTTACAACATAGGATATTCACTCGATTTCTCTAGTAGAGATTTTCTTAATTTGTTGTATTTCAAAAACGAATAACTGTAGATAGGTACATGGAATTTACACCAAACCGTCTCCGCTCAGAATCGTTCTTCCTGTACAATGATATTATACCATACTGTACAGCAGAGCGACATCCACTTACCCGCTTTTTATTTTTAACATTTCAAAGATAATTGGAAATACACATGAACTAATAATGTTAAGTGTAAGAAACCAATTTAAAGACTTATAATCATGACAAATCTTATCGATGATTGTTTCTAAGCTTCTATGGTATTTTATGTGACCTTATATTGTTTTATCTATCTATTTTAGACCTTTGTGTGCTTATGTGTCTTATATTAGGTAACCTATATTATTATTATTATTATTATTTCTTATTGCAATCGTAAATTTAGTGGCATAGTGGTTGTGAAAACCAATGTAAACAAAATATTAAATATTAAAGTATAGTGGTCTGATAATAGTCGTTTGTAAAAGTTAAGTCTCAAGCGTATCATTGTCGTACTAATTCATCACAAGTTAAAGTTTTAGGCGTTTTGGATAGGCAATTAGGGTCGCTTTATTTAGAATAATCAGGGGTATAATATCATAATTCATAACCATAAGTTATTATTATTGATGAATATTGATCTATAGAAAATAAATATAAGTATAAAATTAACAAAAAAAATGTTTTAAATATTGTTAGTATCAATCAAAATTACTTATTGCACTTACTACTTTGTATGTTTGCCTACATAATATGTTAAAATAATTCGTGTTTAATATAATAACATAGATTGTGGTGGCTGTAGTGGTGATTGTATACAATACGTCAATACCTATATAGAAAACTAATATATTTGAGGTATGATTTTTAAGCTTTTAACTTATAAGTTTAAGGTAAATCTAATATTATAGTAAAGTATTTTAGTTAAATGTCTTATTTTAAAATTACATGTAGGTACAACTTCAAACTATAAAAAATATAATGAATACTTACATCTAGTATAAAATTGTATCTAAAAAAAAAAATAATAATAATCACTAATTTACCTATATTTTTTTAATTATATAATATTCATGAATTCGAGGAGGGGGGCAAAACTTTTTCTTAGCCCCACACCAACAATTCGATACTTTGGATGCATTTATATGACGGTTCACTAAATATTCAGACCAAAAACTTCTGTTATATATATGTCTCCTCTTCCCCAATAATACTTAAAACAGCTTTTTGCACAAGGTGGGTGGCCATTGTAATTCAATATTAAATTATTCATACCTACATGTTAACATTTCTTGTATCATTATTCATTATTATAATTTTAATTTTATAGATGAATTTAACAAAATAAAATATAAAATTGAATTATATTTAAAATAATTGTTTTATTATACTGTGTATTATGGTGTAGTATATTAATTATCTATATTATATATAAATGAATGTATGTGTGTCTGTCTGTCTATCTGTCTGTGCGTCCATATATAATGTACATAGAAAATGTCATGATAATGTCCATAGATAATGTCTATGGTAATGTCCATAGATAATGTCCATTAGTTACCAAGGTTATCACTGGTTTTGAAGCCATTATAATAATAATTATTGGTTGCCGGGCAACGAAGTGCACTGGATCATTTGGTACAGAGATAGATTAGACCTCTGGGCAGAAGATAGACTAATTTTAAAAGGGAGAGGACCAACCCCGGGAGGTTCTCAAACAGGGATTTTGAGATTTCCGATGGAAATTTTTGTTTATAAATGGTTGCCATGTGTTTTGAAGCTATTATAATAATAATTGGTTTAAAATTGTTGTTATATGGTAACAGTTATATTATAAAATAAAACATATTATTCATATAGAGTTGGTATTTTTAATGGGCAACGAAGTACACGGGATCAGCTAGTATATTATAAAGTATTAAAGAATTATTATTATTATAGCTTATCATCCATTAAATTATTCATGCATACCTCTCATAGTTATTAACTTGCATTTTCTACAAGTTCATATTCCTTTTTTTACTAAAAGAATATTTACAATCTGTGTTGGAATAGCACAACATATGATAATGTATATACATTTTAACTGTGAATAATACGAGGAGGGAGGAAAATCAGTGATGGAAATCAACTTGATACTTTTAGGCTAATAAACTTTCTCTTTAGTCAATGGTGAAAATATGGGATTTATGGGTTGTTTATTGAATGATATTTGCAATGCTAACGTGTTAGTATGGAAATGTAGTTGGAGTAAAAATATGTGTAATGTTTGGTGACTAATTAGCAGGAATGGCTCAAGGGTAGGCGACATAGGTCCATGCCTATGGCGGCACTTAAGCAGCACTTTAGTAAAAGGGCTGCATTTTAAAACACCGACAATGTTATATTGTTAGGGGCCGAAAAATTTGATTTTGCCTAGTTCACTATTTTCGCTCCACCGTCCTGCTAATTAGTCAACTGATTAAATTTTAAGATCAAAGTCGTGTAGTGAGAAGTTAGATACACACCGAGGTGCAGAGGTTATCATATCGAAAATGTTTACTGGAATGCTTGTATATAGTGTGAATTTGGGACGGCTTAGCACAGGGCCAAATTTGGATCACATATTGAGAATATGGGTCTCAAAAAATATTTATACATAATACATTCGTTGTGGATTGGGAGCTTTGATTTTAAGATTGGGCGAATTAAATATAGTCAGCTGCTTTTGAAGGTTTGTCTACTTAGTTTAAGGTGAGGGCCCCAAGTTAGTTACCTACTTATCAAGAGTAATGCCGAGATATTTGACATCAATAGATTATGTGATTTACTGATTTGATTACCCTGAACTCACTTCTTATATTAAGAAAATTAACAATAGGTTATGGTATTTTCTAAGTGAATAGTTGAAATATTAGTATATTACACTAGAAAAAATTGGATTTATTTTTGCTCACCTTCATAAATAAGTGGCGCCAGTGTATATATCTAAATAAATCGCCAGAATGAAGCGATCAATCAAATATTTAAATTTAATTATGAGTACTAACAATAACTTTTATTTATTAATATTGTTTTATTGATATTGCTTTATTTGTATAAATTATACGGTCAAATTATTAGCATGCTCGAAAATTTAATGGGTAGTATGGTCATTGGTTATCACTTATCAGGTACGTTTGATTATTGAGCATTAATTAGTAAAGGTTGTAGGTATGTTATATATTTGTGTAATATGCACTGCCACATGTAACATGGCAGTGGAATTTATCTAATGATGAACAATAAAAAAAAAATACATTAGGTTTATATCGAAAAGTACTACTACTACAACTAATACCACAATACTTAGCTAAGTGATTAATAAGTCGTTGATTCTGAGCCACGCAGTAACGGTCTTCCGGTTTTGGCTGCTGTCCGTTCCGTTTGATTTTTATGATAATCATTAGTTTGTTTCACACTCCATAAACGTAATTATTTTTCATTCCATAATATCAAATGGATAAAAATAGTTATAATAATGTCGATTCCGATGTAAATATATCGTCCTTTGACGTAAATGACAAAACTCCGATATTAGGATCTCCACATAAGAACAGTTCTAGGTGAGTTGACAAGAATTTGTTTTATAAGATTTGGGACGAATTTATATAGTTTTAAAAAATAGTTATCATTAAACTAAAGATTAATAAGTATGCATTTTTGTTATTTTTTGATAATTGGACAAGTAAATTATAATTGTTTTAAAGAAACATTCAGTATTATTGTTTCTCCATATTATATAATATTTGATACTAATATACTATAATATTATGTTATTTCATTTATTTCTAGAATTTGCATGCTTTTATATGCAGGAGTACATATTTTAGCTAAGCTCTATTTTATATTTTCGATATTAATTGCCCAAAAATACTTTTGTTTTTATCATTCGAACTTCAAATATTGATTTAAAAAAAAAATAAGGTGGGCAAGTGGATACCGCTTTGCTGTACATTAGATGTCGTGTGGGCCACTGAAATGGATAATATTATGTTAAATTTAAATTTTATGGTAAATCATTCAGTAAGAAAAACGAGCGGGTCCAGTTTCTTCAAAAAATGAGATACTGTTTTCCTCCTAAAAAATATTGGTATCCATTTTCCTCAAAACGTTTTTTTGGACTAAAACTATTTTCATTTTCCTCCAAATATTAAACTATTTCAGGCCTTTTAGCTATTTATTTTATTTAAATTAAACATAATTTAACAAAAAGATAATATTATACTATAAAAAAAGTATTATGTAATTGTTAATAACTAAGAGTATTTTTTTTTTATTTATTAAGATGTATATATTATATAAAATGGCATGCAGATATTATTTTTATTATATTCTTAATTAATTCCTTATTAGAGGAAAATGGTCAAGTATTTATTTATCATTTTTTTTTTTTTGAGGAATTTGGATAGTGGAGAATTATGGTATCTCATATTATTGGGGGAAAATAACTGTGGTCCGAAAAGTGATTCTGACCGAAGCTGGTCTATCAGCCTATAACATTACTGAATATATTTTATGATAATATTGCTATTAAAGTAGGTAATTTATTTTGCTATTAACAGTAACACAGTAGGTTGAATTAATTTTTGCCGAATACAGTGCTTTTAATAATGTCATTGTGTGTTAAAATATAATAATATAAGTACTTTAAAAGCTGCGAAAGTACCCACGAATACTATTATTAAATTACAACAAAATAACTAACGTTATTATTCTTCGTTTAAGTATTTATAATTTTTTCATAATTTAAGCTTAAAATGTCTATAAAAAAAACTTTGTATAATTGTTTTTAGACTTTTTTGGTTACATCGTGAACTCAGAATTACTCATGAGGGACCTTGTTCAATTTACAGTCCTTAGCTATAAATATTGAACATTTTATAAATATTCAACTAGGTACAAAATAATTTGCAAATTTTCATGATTTTTATGAATGTTGTTAACATTTTAAATTTAAATGCATACAACAAAAAAAATCATGCTTATGTATCTTTAATATTTCCAAACTGCTATTATAACACCTATTGAAGAACCTTGTATTAAATTTTCAATCTTTTTAACCAAATAAAAATATTTTTAATTTTAAATGTTTATAAATAGCTCAAAAAGAGTAAAAATATATTTTAATGTATAGAAAATACTAATATTTGGGGAAAATGTAAATTATCTGCGGTTATTTGTTTTTGAATTACAACAAAATAAGAAAATATGACCTCAACTACATTAATACGCATATATCACAAATTAACTCATATTTGGCTCTTTGATATGTCTCATACATTTTCATATATTTATATCCTCCATAACTCAGCATCGTCGATCTTCTAAACTATTTAGAACAATGTGCAGCTTTTATCTACCTACATAAATAATTTCTAAATATCAGAATTAAATTTTATTTACTTTGTATTTCTGCTAAGTTCATAAAAACAACTCATGTTGTGTAAGCATCGCCATGTATCTTCATATAGTCTAAAAAACCCGTTGTTGGCTTACATCCAAAATTCAAAATAAAAATTGTGATGTTTAAATTATAATAATTTTAATAAACCATGTTTTTAAATATTATTTATATTAATATCTAATGCTTCAGCAACATCAAGTTATTAGACTAGAGTATATATATTGCAAAACTAATTTAATTTGCTTTGAACTACAATTATTATACCTATACAATGTACAACTGGCCGATTATAGCAATAGACGTGACAAATTTGTATTGTAATAAAAACTAACATAATAGGTAATCGTTAAATAATATGTGAAACATTTTTGTTAACCTATAAGACATTGAGTAGGTACTGATAAACTTTGTGCAAATTGTAAGCCTATAGATTTTTAAGCGATGTAAATTCACGTGATAAAGTTACGTATTGTGCAAAATACACGTGGCTTATTTTAGATGCATCTTATCAGTTTTGGTCTGATATAGCACAGATTACAAATATAGGTACCTAGGTACTCAAATGTTATAATCATCTAGTGTACCTAATGACCAATTATTGATAACCTGATTGAATAATTTGTTCTAAACGTTTCATTTTTTTTTTCAACTATATAATATGATGGTTGTATACACAATTGCTTATGCTGTTTGTTAAATTTTTTACAATTAAAAAATGACTTAAGTATTTATTTCAGAATTTTAATATTTAACTTGTCATAGCCATTAGATCTCTAGTATTTTTTTTATTGATCACCAATTCTACAAAAAAATACTAATTAAATAGTAACTTCATATGATTTTCCCGTTTTTAACTATTATACAAATATAGTACCTTGCTATAAATTACTAAATTTTTTTGTAGTTTGGCAAGGTCTTACGTGACTATAGTACGTATTAGTACAAAGTACAATTATTGTAGACGATTAGAAATATTGACTCTAATTATACATTGATAACATCACATAATAATGAATATCAGTAATTAATTCTCCTACCTCCTTCTCCTTTACCTGAGTTTTCGACAATGTTGGTTGATATTTTATTGATTCTGAAGTTTTAAAATAATTTCTGTACCTAATTTTATATTCTTTATATTGTTTAAAAGATGCTGATTTAAAAACTGGTTTATTAATATAAGGTTTTTCAATGTTTTATTTTGAATTAAATTAAATTATTCAAACAAGATATTATAAAACTATAGAAATTTATTTTATTGCCTTTGTAAATTATTACTAGTTTTGTACTGGCATGGATGAATTATTATTAGACCCTGAATATTCTTTTTTGTGGCATCGTATTATTACAATTATTCTTAAAATTGATTTAATAAATCTTTTCATCATAGCACATAATATTTTGTTTACATAAAAATAAAATGCTTTTTGACGCCTAACTTGATAAATACACAATTTTTTGATTATTTGTAGGTAACCTACCTAGCTGTTAAATTGTTATTTGAAAATTGATCACTATGCATTTTTGAATCAACAGTTTTCAAAGTAGGTATCAGTAATAGTAGGATTACACATTTTTTTTAAAAATGTTTTAGTGATAATTGATGAATTACTATGTAGTATGTCGTATACTTTATCCGTAACTGTATAATAATATAGTTAATTGTTAAAAATTGGTTTAATATTTCACACTTATTGAAAATTAAATTATAAAGTTTGACAGCCAACCGGGAAATCTGGATAATATTCTTACCTTTAAGTTTCATATTAGGTAGGTCAATTCACTCTAGTATTAAAAACTACAGAGTAAAATGGATTCTTCTGAACGTAAAATGTTCTATTACGTTTAGTAATATTTCTGAATCTATTTCTATTACGCGTTAGTAAGACGGAGTCAACTAAAACTGTCAACACAATACGTATAAGGGTAGGACATCCACTTCATTGGTAATTTGAATATGAAAATTAATAGCATAGTGATAATAAATATAATTATTTATACTATATGTACATCCACGTACTAATTTGTACTACTAAATTGATAAATATTTGAATTAAAAATAATAGTTTTTTTTATGTCTTATGCGTTACCTATTTAGTTTTCATTGACTAGGTACTCTAGACTTTAGTTGGTGATAAATTATAATAATTTTATTATTATTTCCAAATGTATGTGTATTATACACTTCTAGATAACCCGTTGAGAATTTAAATTGATATTCTTGTGGCTTATTAATAATTTCATAGCCATATTCACTATTCAGATAACATACATTTCCGACGATGAACATTGAATTTGGTTTTTAATATTATATCTACAAACTAGCATTGATTATGAATACTATGGATACCTCACTGAGCTACAAAATATGCTACTCTAAATGTACTAGCAATCATGTTGTTATTATCCAAAACTGACTGGGCAGCCAGGTTATAAAGATACGTCTCCCAGTCAGATAATAAGCAATAACACAATAGAATCGCTAGTAAATTCAGCTTAGTGTATTTTGTACCGCAGTGAGTGATATTTAGTAGGTATTCATAATCAATGCTAGTAGCTTTATACCTTCTTTAATTTTCAATAAATATTATTATTTATTACTATAAGAAGACTTCAAAATAAATTGAATTTATGTCTCATACAGTAGTCTGACCTGATTTTTATATCGTATTAAAAAAATTATTTTACCCTTTAGTTATCTTTAATACCTTTATTCAAATAGTTTTATAAATAATGCATGCGTCACTTAACGTTTGATATTAATAAAGTTATGATAAAGCGTACCTACTTAAATAGTATTATATTATAACATCAAACTTAAAAGAAAGAGATTTTTATTTGTAAATATATATAACATTTTTAATTTAGATCTAGACTATCTATAAATATTATCAAATTTTATTTCTTCAATGTTAATTGGCTTTATCATTTAGTGACTTCTGATAAATGTGTGATTGACCCGATTATTTATTGATTACTTATTCCACCTATGGGATTTGAAAAAATCATACCGGGTTCTATTATAACTCCACGTATAGTCGATTATTTTTTAACTAGACTAATTGGGCCCACAATCCATCATTATTTAGAATCATTAATTCATTATTAAAATAAATAATTATTGTACTTTGTTTTTCTAAGCAATGTTTGCCCAAATTACCATAGATAATAATATAATATACAGGAATGGGAGATACCTATACCTAATATACATGGTATACCAGTGTTTCACAAACTTTTTGCAATGGCGACCCCATTTAATCTTAATTGGGTACGCGATCCCCTGCTAAAAAAAAAAAAAATCAAGTATGCCATAAATAAATAATATTTTTATTATAATTAATTTTATCATTGAATTTTTATAAAATACAATACTGAATAATAAATACATAATAAATAAATAAAATATAAAAAATACTAAAATACTAAAATAACCGCAATTGTAACCCATCAAAAAAGTAAAACATTCCCATCAGTAGTTTTCAAAATCAAAGAAAAAAACAAAAAATAAAGTAAGAAAAGACGGGAATTTTCATGCAAAACCAGTTTTCCAGTTCAAAAACTTAAAAATGTAATACAAATGTCCTCATAAGTTTTATAATAAGAATTCTAAAATATTAAAATATATAGGTACAGTCACGATTTTTTTTATAAACATTGGAAGTTTAAATGTTGACAAAATTCGTGAAAATCAATAAAAAATTTACAAATTATTTTTGTGTTAAAATGTATAGAATGTTCAATTGATGAAGCTAATGATTGAAAATGTAAAACTCATAATTAGTTCATACTTCAACCTAAAAATCTAAAAAAATACATACGGTTTTCTTTGTAGATATTTTAAGTTAATTAATTCTACTTACTGTATTACTAATAGTAAAATAAATTACTTTAATAGCAATACTATTATAAAATATACTTATAGTAGTATGGGCTGACAGAATGTTTTTCGAATAAAATGGTTTTATATCATTGAACTCAAATATAATACATCCATTACAGTGACCCACACGACACCTATAATGTGCAGCAGAGTGGTACTTGACACTTGTCCACCTTTTTTAAGTTTACTATGACCGTAAATATAGATGTAATGTATATTACACACTAATGAATTGTATGGTATTATGATTTACTGCCATTCAAATTTCAAATACCATGATTAATGATCAAGGATTATAGTCTTATAGATAATCATTTATCATACATTTCGGTTACAATGACCCACGCGACACCCAATATACAACAGAGCTGTTCCCACTTGCCCACCTTTTGGCTTTTTTTATATCGAAAACAATCTGTAATTATTATTATTCCCTACAATATTCGATAGTACAATATTTTTTTACTAAACACTAGTATTTTTATTAGACTTAAAAAATCATTCAGTGGGATTATATTGTTTATTTCTAGATTACTGTCAAAACGATGTCTTATTCTAGTTCTCGTTGGAGTGGTGCTATTGTTCGCTGTTTCAGTTGCGTCAATAGTTGTATTCTCAAAGTATTATGGATTCAACACCAGAACCCCAGACCCGGAATTTCCATTGCCACCATCAAGTATGCCAATGGGCTTGTACCGTAAGGTCGGTGTCGTATCAAATGGTGGACCGTGTGCACAAATCGGAGTGTAATGCAAATAAATATAATATTATACATTTAATTTTAAACATAATAGTAATTATAATCAACTACAATATTTTGACGACTACATTATCTGCAAGAAGATCGTGCATCGTGCATGTTAAATACTATATAAAGTATTTTTTAAAGCAGGCAATCACGTGTATTATTTAATTTAGAATTTTTAGTACTTATATTTACTTTTATAATGATCTATGCAATAAAATATTGTGAATAGTAAACTAGCAATTTCGTTTTTATTTGAAAAAAATGTATTTGTAGGTATATGAATACAATATATTATATTACTATGTAATCTATTTTTAAATTTAACTAGTCTTTTTACAGAACTTTCACGTTTATAATATTCATAAAACAGAATGTAAGACATTATAGTATTTTAGATTCTAGTTGTTATCTGCAGTCTACAACAAAACTTAGCTTAAAAATCAAAACATAATTTTGTTATTTTTTTCAATATTTCAAACATTTTGGATGCTTGTAAATAATACATTTGTGCGTTGTCATTTGTTTTTTCAAATAGGGATGTGATGGCGAAAGGTGGAAATGCCATAGATGCCGCAATAGCTACAATTTTGTGTGATGGAGTCGTATGTCCTCATCAAATGGGTGTTGGTGGAGGATTTATAATGAGTTTCTACAATGCAACTACCAAAAAAGTAATGTCGATCAATGCACGTGAAACAGCTCCAGCTGCAGCAAAAACGAACATGTTTGTAAAAGATCCAATGAGTTCTATTAACGGTATGCACTACAAATAGACATTTAAATAAGGTTTTATTTGCTTCTATAGATGCAATTTGGGGTTAGGCCGGTTAGGGGCTTGTCGTCTTTAGTGTGATTTGCACCTCTAGTTTTTTCTTTTAAATTGCAACCTGATATTATCTGATATTACAGTATGTTTATTTATTTGTTACTTACATATGCATTTACATAATAAACAATATTATATATAAATTACATAATATGTAAATATGTTAGGTATCTATTATATTAATATAGGTTCTAAATTATATTGTTTTATAAAATATAGGTCAAATTATAAGTCATGTTGTGAATTGCCTGACTTTTTCCCGTGCAAATAGTTAGTAGCTAATTTACTTGATAAACATAAGAACCTGTGTAGGTATAACTTACAAAAAATTACCTTCATGATCTCATAAGTTTAAAAAATATAAATACAATTAATATTGTATAGGTAATAGGTACCTACCTAAACTAATATAAAAATGTCCAACTTTTGCAAATTCGTATTCAATGGCGGTGTATTACTGTGTGAAATAAAGTGTGTTTGTTAGCCGTTATATATTAAATTTTATAGACATTCAATATGTATATTATAAATTAATTAATATTTATCTATTACTGACCAAATAGGTAGGTACAACTCCATATTTTGTTATTGAAAATCATAATAATGTTTTCAGCTTCAAGTACCAAAGGATGTTCAAAAACTTCTAAATGAAATTTTTTTTTAACATACTTGCCACTTAAAATATGCAATATATTTCAGCAATTTGAATACATAATTCTTTTAATATTAAACTAAATCTGTATTGGTTATAATATAACTGGATTAATCTATAAATTTAAATACAAACAAAAGTTTATTGTATAAATACGTTTGACAAAATTAACTTACACCGCTTAACAATAAGACCAATGAGCATGTGTGAGCAAGGATTTTCAGCTATTCAATATTAGCTTTTAAAAAAAATATTTCTATAAAAATAAATAAAAACATTATAAATATTTATCAATTTTTTTTTATTTGAAATATTTCAGGAGGATTGGCTGTTGGAATTCTAGGAGCATTTAAGGGTTATTCAGATATTTATAATTTATACGGTGGTGGAGTTTCATGGAAATCACTTTTTGAACCAACGATAAAATTATGTGAAGATGGTATAAAGATCAGTAAACATTTAGAAATAAGTTTGAAGGATGATGTAGAATTAATAAAAGCTGATCCAATGCTCAGGTATGATAACTCATAACGAGAAGGAATATTAGTCTATACATTTATATCCTAAATCAATATTTATAATACTTCAAAAAAATTATGTTTTTTTTTATAAAATTTTAAGCCATTTTTTATATGAATTAAATTATATTATGTACTAGCTGATCCCGTATACTTCGTTACCCGTTAAATGTACCAAATCTATATAACTTAAACTTTGTTCAATTTGTTATTTAATATTCAGTGTAAATTTTCCGTTGTCCGGAATAATAATAAAATTCTGATTCGCAACAGTATATTATCAGGTAGGCAATCTACCTGTGGTAGACCGCGAACCCCTTGATGTTTGTACGTAAGTGTATGATTTAACTCTAAAATATCAAATTTATACCAAGTTTGTTGTATTCCACATATTATGGTGGATTAATATAATCAGTTAATACAAAATCCTAGCCCTACTAATATCATACTAAAAAAAAACCAAATTTAACCATTTTTAAATTAGCCTGTCTTCTTCCCAGAGGTCTAATCTACACACAAACATTCATTTATTTCTATATATATTGACAAAAAACAAAATACAAATCAACAAACATGCCGGATTAACCAATAGAGCAACCAATACACATTATACTCCATTATTATTTTAATCTGAAAATAATTTTTTTATTATTTAATTAATTATTTTCTGGACAGATGACGCCACTGTTGTATTTTCGACATTCAAATTTTCTACTTTTCTGGTGGATTTTCCTAAAATTTTCTTTCGTTTCAATCTTCGCTAGGCAATTATAACATCTTAAAAAAAATTTGAGCCAAATTGGTCCTGCCGTTCTCGAGTTTTAGCGAGACAAACAAACAGCAATTCATTTTTATATGTTTAGATAGAAGATAGAAGATTATAAGAAATATTTAAATACATTTTAATTTATCCTACCGTTTAATAGTGTAAAAAAGAATTTTTAATTTGTTTGTAGACAAACATTTTTCGATGAAAATACCAGACGATCAAAGAAAACTGGAGAAATTTACAAGTTACCAAAGTTGGCAGAAACGTTAAGAACAGTAGCAGAGGAAGGTGTAGATGCCATATATAATGGATCATTAGCATCAAAAATTGTAGACGATTTACAAAAAGTCAACGGTATTATTACAAAAGAAGATTTAGCAAACTATTAGTAAGCTTACATTTTTCAAATCAAATATTCTGTGTTCTGTGGTATTATTTAAAAAATCAACATTTATTTGTAAATATTATGGTCAAATAAGAAAAATAAAATAATAACAATCAGTTTTGATAATTGATAGTTTTGCATACAAATGTTTTATTTAAATTACCTATCGATTATGATTCATTACAAGTCATTCGTAATTTCTTAAATATCAAATTAATAAAAACAATCGTTATACCTACTATTATGTTTTACAGTGTTGAAATTGAAGAATCGTTTTCCGTAAAATTAAAGAATGGATATACAATACATGCAGGGCCACCTCCTGGTTCTGGCATAATATTAGCATTCATTCTTCGTATATTGGACGGAATTTTACCTGCACCCAATGCTGGCTTAGATGCACATCGTTTGGTGGAGGCGTTTAAATTTGGATACGGTGAAAGAACACATTTAGGAGATCATAAATTTGTTAACGTGTCTCAAGTATGTTTTATTAAGCCGACACTTAAAACGTGTAAATGTGTAATATTAATATAATTATACATTTGGATAAATTACATTTTACAGATTTATGATAAAGTAAAATCAGACAGTTACATAGATAGTATACGAAATAAAATATCAGATAACTTCACTTCGTCAGACCCTAAATACTATGGAGCAGATTTTGTTATGCCAGATAATCATGGAACCGCCAACTTGGCCACCATTGATCAGATGGGAAACGTTGTCGTATGCACTAATACAATCAATACACAGTGAGTATAGATTAATACATTTCCCGAAATTGATCACGGAAATAAATTACATTATTTATTAACACGTTGTATTTTGTATTTATTTTAGCTTCGGCTCTGGTTTCATGTCCCCTAACACCGGCATTATTTTTAATAACCAAATGAATGATTTTTCTACCCCGGGAGTCTCCAATCACTACGGAATTCCGTCGTCACCGTCCAATTACATAAAACCAGGCAAACGACCAATGTCTTCTATGTGCCCAACTATATTTACCGACGAAAATGGTGATTTTGCTCTCGCGGCAGGAGCAGCGGGAGGTTCGAAAATCACTCTTGCTACGTCTTATGTAAGATTTCATTAACTCATTAATTTGACTTTAAAAACTTTGATTTTCAATAACTCATATTGCATGCAAGCAATCTTAAACAGCGTGATTCTTTGAACATTAAACACTCATTATTTCAAATAGTATTACATTTCTTGAGAGTATTTTTTTTACATATAATTTAAAATGATTAAAATCAACCTAATTATTACTTATTTATGTGTAACGTGTAAACCTATCTATATAATATACACGTAACCTATACATAATATATTTGATAACAACGTGATAAAAAAAAAATTAACAAAACGTTAAGATAATTAGTTTTTACTGTTAAAAGAATTTATCCAATATACACTTTAAGGTATAAATATATTCAGCCGGTTTTTGAAGAATATATTGGTTATGATAGTGATGATTTAAAATCTGGTTTATTATAATTTAATATGAAAAAATTCAATATTAATTATATGAACACTGTAATGACAAAAAAAAAATGTTATTTCCAGGCGTCTGCTCTAAGATTATGGTACAATAAAACATTGAAAGAAGTAATAGATAAACCCAGAATTTACCATCAACTTATGCCTATGCAAGTTCAATACGAATACGGAACGACACGGGTAGAATATAAATATAATAGATTTATTTATAATATATTATTATTTATGTCATGTTTTCAATTTTTCAGGGTGTAGTGCAAAAACTTAAAGATATTGGTCATACAGTAATTAGATTGAAAGATAACGGTGGATCAGGTGGTTCAGCAGCATCAGCTATTGCCAGGTCTCCTTCAGGAATGATCGAGGCTATGCCAGATTTCCGGCGGAAAGGAAATTCGTCTGGATATTAATGCTGCGGTGATGTTGATTTATTGTTCCAATCATGATGATGTGTGCTCAGAATTATTTGTTTATTTAATATATTTTGATCAAGATCATGTGCAATTTACAATACTACTTATTATTATGAATTATTTATATATGTATATAAATTATATTTAAACGAACCACTTTAATTGATGATTGCAAATACATCACAATATAACTGTTGTAAATATTTTTAATTTCAATGAAAAACAATGGATGATAATTTTCTAAAGGTTTGTGGTAGGCATGTACCATAAGATCGTTTTTATGAAAATGTGTAGCCCTTTTCATATTTTGTTTTGTTTACCAACGATTTAACAACTGATAGGATAGTATATTTTTTAAGAAATAAATTATTCTGAAAATCTCATATTTGTTTCATTATTAGTCAACTATAAGCAAACACTGAAACATCTACAATATCTGAGTGCTTGAAAATATGGTCCAATAATATACTTGAAAGCTCTAAAAATTAAAGGGAACATGGGGGGGGTGAGAATACTTGGTAAATTATTTCGTATAATACTGTCACTTTGTGTATATGCTTGAAGATAATATAAATTAATATATATTCTGCTTGTGTTCTGATAAACAGCTGTGACTAAAGGACTATCGCTTATGCAATTTCATATACAATTGCTTATATATAATATACAATTGCATCGGCATAAACTTAAGGATTTCGTATAATTTATATCTGAAGATGTATACATATATATTATAGGTACTGTTTTACATCTAGATATATCTATCTATAATATATAAATATGTCGTCTATAACTATTACAACATGGTTCATAATAGGTATAGGTATTACACAATTATAAACCACACTTTATAATCTTGTCACATAGACAACGGGAACACATCAGCATAATATTGTAAATAATATAATTTAAAAGATACACACACAAATATACAATACTTAAAAATTCCATTGTGCGAAAGCTAGTTATTATTTTTAGAGCTACTCCTTCGTCGCTGCAACACGATTGCGCACCAAATAGTATGCGTAGGATATACTAATTTGCAGACAGTGAGACCACGTTTTTGTGCTAATCACCAAATGTAATTTTTAAATACAATTATTAGGTACATATTAGAAAATGTATGATTATGATTCATATTATGTTTTATTTTTATATGAACAAAAAAAAATATTGACTATTGACTAGGTAACCTGTATACATTGAATATATACATGTGATTTAGAAACAAAAACAATTTTTAACCAAGCCAACAATGATAATTTGTTGTCAGTCCTAAGCCTTAAAGCCTGTATAACAATAAAATTGGGAAGGAAACTTGAGAATTAATAGTTAATATAAGTTATTGAGTGCATGTATATAACAACTATAGAAAATATGTAGTGTATATATTATTTTATGTTGTACATAAATTATTATACATATTACATAGTATATAAATCACATATAATTTGGTGCGCAATCGTGTTGTAGTCCTCTTTCATATCATTATGGTAAGAAATCGGGCTTCAATATACCTATTATATCTGATAATAATATGTAAGACGTAGGTCCCTTACCAAATAATTTATGAATTTTATTATAAATACTAGTATACTACCTAATTGGCCATTATAGTCAATCAAACATTATCTACAACTAAAATCTATTAAATTATGTAGATGCGTTTATCAACAATATAGAACTAGTAATCAGAACCTCGAATTGTATGTATTTGCAAGTTTTTTTCATAACTTTGTAGAAGGAAATATGATCAAAATTGGTTTCACATTATAGAAACCTACTACTCTATAGCCTATTATGCATGTTATACCTGTACGAAACTCCATTTCTCTTTCGTCGATAATTTATAAAACCATATTAACAACATTTATGTAATTTGATTATAAAAATAAGTTGTATATTGTAAATTGTTTTATGATAATATATTTAATATAATATTCAACAGAGCCACAGAGGTAAATGTAAAACATTTTTAAGTTTAATCTTCAATCTTAAAAATCATATACGATGTACTCAATATAGTTCATCCAAATGAATAGAAAGGTATGGGCATTTAGATCGTCGAACCCGCATTGAAATCATTTTTTTATTTGGTTCCATAACTTTTATAGTTTGCTGCATGATGTCTTGCTAATGCTAAACATTTTTCTCTATTTTAAATAAATTTATTTTGTTGTATCTACTTATTATATGTAATGTGTACCAATATATACCAATATTGTACTAAAAAAAAAGATAACAAAAATCTGCCATAAATTATTAGTAAGTGATATTAAAGGAGAAACGTCTTTTATAAAAAAAATTAATGAAAATAATATTTTTGAGAATAGGTACCTATGTATTCCATAAGGTGTTTTAAAAAAATACATAATTAGTAAACACAATTTAATTTAATGGTTTCATAGTATTGTTTACTTTTGAGTTGTAACGCAGACAGAGTTCGGTTCACAATAAATACACTTACCTGTATCAGATTATTATGTATATAATAATATATTAAAACACTCAAACAACTTATGCGAATGCACCTCAGGCCTCAGAATTTCCATTGATCATAACTTACTATGTAAAAGTATAAATTATGAAGGTGGTATTACTGAAGTAAATAGTCTTATACAACTACGACCACTGTTTTGATGTTTTACTTTTTGTAATATAGGAATGTAATATAATATATTGTGATGTATTGTAATATTGCAGTATAGGTACTAGGTAGTTGTAGTCAATATAGGTAGTCATATTTATTCAGGCTGTGGTGAACATTTTTACATAAGATTCCCATTAATATTAAAAGCCACGCTTTACTTGAATGAATCTAATAACATAGTTGCCGTAGTTAATGTTCTAAAAAATAATAAATTATTAGTTGATCATTCCCGGATATATGTAAGTTTACAAAAAAAATACGATTTAAATCAAACTGTACATTTTTTTATATAAAAAATTAAAAGCTAGTGCTGTGTAAAAATACTATCTATGCTAAAGCAATTAAAAATAATACATACAACCTCAGTGAAAACAAAACTTAGTAATTTGTTCATCGTAAAATAAAACTTTTAATATTATATATTCCACATACCTATCTATACCTGCAATAATTAATTTCAAAACAGTTTGGTATCCATCACTTTCGTTTATTTGTTCGTTTATTTTTTTTAGTCCATTTGTGTCCAACTATTCTGTAAAGTGTCCAACAGTTACATTTTACAATCTACATATTAACTTATTAACATATTATAGACCAACTGACATAACCTCGTATCAATATACGGAGTTCCTATAGGTATATGAGTACAGATAATTTGATTTACAATGCAATATTTATACAATTTAAATTATGACATAGTTTATAAAATATATACTAGTATATTTAATTTATAAATCTTAAATATTATCTTAAATTTACATCAATTTTATAATTAAGTTGGAAATATTTATATTTAGGTGCCTACACATTTCATTTTTTTTTTTTACCCAATGGGGTCTGTAGGGGTTGAGGTTTGTATAACTCTTGTTTTTATGCGGTGCAAGGATTTGTCACCAGAAACCTGGTCACCCATCAGGGAGTCAGTGACCCCGAAGTCACTGGACTATGCTTGACCGCAGTACACATTAGTGACTGTAGCCAACCACCGTGCCACGCCAGGCCCTATATCAACATTTTATAATTCTCATCAGTCATTAATTATTTTACATGGTTTTTATTTAAATCATTGGTATTAGTGGATTGAATTTTGCATAAAACTGTTATTAAAACCTTTACACCATTTTCCTAATCATTAAGTATTGTTTTTGCCATGTGCCCATGTAGGGAAACTTCTTTAACTATATAGTTAGTATAAGACAGTTTATGTACTTTCCTGCTCTTCTGTCTATTATTTCTTTAACATAAATTATTTATTGTACCGATTTTATTAGAAATGTTTTAATGTATAAACCAGTGGCGTAGCCAGGATTTTTGTTTGGGGTTAAATACGTATTAGCACAGGTGGATAGCTGTAAAGTGTTAATAATTATAGTAAATTTTTAAATATTTTAAATACAATTTAAGACATTTTAAATAACTATCATAGACCATTAAAATAATTTTAATTTTCTTAACATTTCCGGGGGTGGCTGCAGCCTCCTCAGCCCCCCTAGCTACGCCACTGGCATAAACTAACAATAGACAAAGCATTACATTTTTTTTGCTTAAATAACTCATTTGCTGGTTATACTAACGGAAAGGAGAAACCATGATACTTGTATAATATAGTTTTGGGCAATATTTAATGTAGAAATCTCTATTCATACCTCCCCAGCACGTATACCATACAATAGTGTATTTAAGTTTTATTACACAGTGCAATGTATGCATATTTAATAAGCAGTTCTACAATTATTTGATTTAATTCAAACAATAATGTTTTGTTTAGTTAATTCATTGAAAAATTAGGAATTATAAAAACTCATTTTGGTACCGACCATAAATCATAAATATTAAAGGTATCTACTTTGTTTTAACTAATTTTATAGTTTTATCACTTTACACTATACACAATGTATATTGTATACACTAATATAGTATACATGTATTCTTCAATGAAAACAATTACTTGTAGTTAATTAAGGAAGGACTACCAATACTAGACATTGCGAGTTTACATTTTTAATATAATTTAATTTTTGATAATGAAACTAGAAAGTAATTTACTATTGTTCAAGACAAAAATATAAAACATAGATAATTTCTAAATAATATGCATTTTTTTCATTAAAAACTAATATATTATTATACTATTATATTAACTTATACGATTCATTAGAATACCTATGTACCTAGGTACAATAAGGTACCTTTGTATTTACACTATCGCTATTGTTCCTCGTTGAAATTAACCATAATATAATACTGTATTTATATGTCCCGTAGATCTTTGTCAACGATCCTATAGATGCTTATGGTTTTCGAGAAATCATCATCTGATCGTTGACGTCTTTTCCGGTACGTTCTG